ATTGCCTCCAACCTAAGAGCGATGGCCTCCAACCTCAGAGCAATGGCCTCCAACCTAAGAGCAATGGCCTCCAACCTAAGAGCGATTGCCTCCAACCTAAGAGCGATGGCCTCCAACCTCAGAGCAATGGCTTCCAACCTGAGAGCGATGGCCTCCAACCTGAGAGCGATTTCTTCCGACCTAAGAGCGATGGCCTCCAACCTAAAACACTTTTGGCCTCACATCGTCGCTATCCAAGCAAACTCCGGCGCCTTCGCCGCCTTGCGGATGGCGCCGTTGTTTGCTGGGGTGACGCAGCTTGCGGCGGAGACCTGCCTCCTGGTGCTGTCCGACAACCTGTGGCTGCGCTCCAGTGCACCGACACGGCCTTCGCGGCACTTTGTCGCGACGGCGCTGTATGCGCCTGGGGCGCGCCCGCCACTGGCGGCGACTTGGGCGGTGCACAGCCAGAGCTACACCACATCGTCGCTATCGGATTGTTTGCTGGGGCGCTTCTGCCTGCGGCGGTCGATTCCTGCACTGCCCGGCCCGCCCGGCCTGTGCCATTACGGCAATCCAAGCCGCCCGCGAGGCCTTTGCTGCTGGTTTGCGCAACGGCCGCGTCGCGGCATAGGTATAAAAAGAATTATCGAACCAAAAAAGAAAGTTTTCGTTGTGCGATGAAATCTTTTTGGAATTCCCAGTCGTGTAGGTGGCCGGTCCTCTGGTCCGTCCCCTGGTCCTCTGGTCCGCTGGTCCCCTGCAGTCCGCTGGTCCACTGGTCCGCTAGTCCCTTGGTCCTCTGGTCCTTCGTCTTTCTTTCTTTCTTTCTTTCTTTTTCGCAGCTGTTCTCCTTTCTCTTTTTTGCTTTTGCTTTTCCTTTTGTTTGCTTTGCAGAGACGAAGCCAAACAAGGAAGGAAGCAAGCAAGCAAGGAAGCAAACAAGCAAGCACGAGCTGCTCACCTTTGGATCTGGTGTGCTGCTGGGGGGGGCGCTGCGCCTCCCCCAACCCCCCCGCGCCACGAAATCTGCACTTCATCCCCGACACCCGCGCCTGCCACGAAATCAATATTTTAAGGTGAACTCCCCGGTGCAAAATGTTCTAACCAAGCAAATATGCCTCCTCTATCTCTCTATCTCTCTATCTCTCTCTCTGTCTATCTATCTATCTATCTATGGATCCATCTATCTTTCTATCTTTCTATCTGTCTATCTGCAGTTCAACTTCCACAAAGTACTACACCTGCCACGAAATCTGCACTTCAAGGTCCACAAAGTCTTGCGCCTGCCACCAAATCTGCACTCCAAGGGCCACAAAGTCCTGCACCTGCCACCAACTCTACACTTCCACCTCAAAAAGTCCTGCGCCTGCCACGAAATCTGCACTCCAAGGCCCACAAAGTCCTGCGCCGGCCACCAACTCTGCACTTCCACATCCACAAAGTCCTGCACCTGCCACGAAATCTCCTCTTCAAGGTCCACAAAGTCCCGCGCCTGCCACGAAATCTGCGCTCCAAGGGCCACAAAGTACTGCACCTGCCACGAAATCTGCACTTCAAGGACCACAAAGTCCTGCGCCTGCCACGAAATCTGCACTCCAAGGGCCAAAAGTACTACACCTGCCACGAAATCTGCGCTTGAAGGTCCACAAAATGTCCTGCGCCTGCCACTGGCCACCAACTCTGCACTTCAACATCCACAAAGTCCTGCACCTGCCACGAAAAGTGCATTGCAAGGTCCACAAAGTACTGCACCTGCCACGAAACACTACGACTGCCACTACGATACTGCTGCTATTATAGTACTGTTGCTACTCTTACTGCTACTGCTATTTGGATTTTTTGAGTCAGTATTTATTTTTTTATTGATGCGTGTAGAATATGTTTTTAATTGATACGTTAAATGTTATTTTTTGATCTCTCACCCCCGCGTCGCCACCTGGGGCGCTCCCCACCTGGGCGGGGACAGCGCTGCTGTGCAGGGCGATCTGATGAATGTGGAGAGCGCTCAAAGAACTGCCTGAGCCTTTGCTGCCATCCTAAGTGATGGCAGCGTCGTGTCCTGGGGGCATCCGGCGCAGCAAGGACGCTACTAGGGGCTCCTAGCCTTTCTATTTCTACATAGGAGCAAGGACGCTACTAGGAGCTCCTGCCATCGCGACCAGGAACAAGAAACTACTAGGGGCTCCTGGCCTTACTACTAGGAGCAAGGACGCTACTAGGGGGCTCCTGGCATCGCGACTAGCAACAAGACCTCACTACTACGAGCAAGGACGCTACTAGAGGCTCTTGGCCAACCTGAGAGCCTCTAGCCCAAGAGCAACTTCTTCCAACCTAATCTAAAGAGCGATGGCCTCAAACCTGAGAGCAATGGCCTCCAACCTAAGAGCAATGGCCTCGAACCTAAGAGCAATGGCCTCCAACCTAAGAGCGATGGCCTCCAACCTAAGAGCAATGGCCTCCAACCTAAGAGCGATTGCCTCCAACCTAAGAGCGATGGCCTCCAACCTCACAGCAATGGCTTCCAACCTGAGAGCGATGGCCTCCAACCTGAGAGCGATTTCTTCTAACCCAAGAGCGAAGGCCTCCAACCTAAGAGCAAACCTGAGAGCGATTTCTTCCAACCCAAGAGCGATGGCCTCCAACCTAAGAGCAATGGCCTCCAACCTAAGAGCAAACCTGAGAGCGATTTCTTCCAACCTAAAACACTTTTGGCCTCACATCGTCGCTATCCAAGCAAACTCCGGCGCCTGCGCCGCCTTGCGGATGGCGCCGTTGTTTGCTGGGGCGACGCAGCTTGCGGCGGAGACCTGCCTCCTGGTGCTGTCCGACAACCTGTGGCTGCGCTCCAGTGCACCAACACGGCCTTCGCGGCGCTTTGTCGCGACGGCGCTGTATGCGCCTGGGGCGCGCCCGCCACTGGCGGCGACTTGGGCGGCGCACAGCCAGAGCTACACCACATCGTCGCTATCGGATTGTTTGCTGGGGCGCTTCTGCCTGCTGCGGTCGATTCCTGCACTGCCCGGCCCGCCCGGCCTGTGCCATTACGGCGATCCAAGCCGCCCGCGAGGCCTTTGCTGCTGGTTTGCGCAACGGCCGCGTTGCCACCTGGGGCGGCTCCCCACCAAGGCGGGGACAGCGCTGCTGTGCAGGGCGATCTGATGAATGTGGAGAGCGCTCAAAGAACTGCCTGGGCCTTTGCTGCGATCCTAAGTGATGGCAGCGTCGTGTCCTGGGGCGCGGCAAGGACGCTACTAGGAGCTCCTGGCATCGCGACCAGGAACAAGAAACTACTAGGGGCTCCTGGCCTTACTACTAGGAGCAAGGACGCTGCTAAAATCGCGACTAGCAACAAGACCTCACTCACTACGAGCAAGGACGCTACTAGGGCTCTTGGCCAACCTGAGAGCGATGGCCTCTAACCCAAGAGCGATTTCTTCCAACCTAATCTAAAGAGCGATGGCCTCCAACCTGAGAGCAATGCCCCCCAACCTAAGAGCAATGGCCTCCAACCTAAGAGCAATGGCCTCCAACCTAACCTAAGAGCGATGGCCGCGATGGCCTCCAACCTGAGACCGGCCGCCTCCAACTTAAGACCAATGGCCGGCCTCCAACATGAGAACGATGGCCTCCAACCTGAGAGCGATGGCCTCCAACCTAAGAGCGATG